AGCTTGGAACCAGACTATGGGAAAGGACCCTCTCCAGTCATTTCTTAGGTTTTCTACCCCTGTGTCCCCCCAAGCCTTGCTGGCAGAGGGTGTACAGTATTTACCACATACCCTGTGATCAGGTGAAGATGGTTTCACAGCTGATGCTCTCCACTTACTCCCAACATGAAGACTGGACCTCCTGGCTTTCTAGAGTGGTCAGAACTCTCTGGGATGGGGTGCTCACTGTCGCACAGCGTTGTGGGAAGTTTCCTTTCTCTTCCCAACTGACTGACCACGCCCACTCACACTGGTAGTACTGTCTGGTCAGAAAACTGAGCCCAGAGAGGTCAAGCAACCTCATGAGAGGTCACCTAGACCAGGAAGTGGCTAAGTCCACGTTCGCATTCAACCCCACCGACTGCCAGGTGGACATACTGAATCTCTCTGAGATGAACCCAGGGTAGTTCAAGGGCAAGCACCCCCTAGTTCATACACTAAGTTCAGCAAGGGGATGGGAAGCCTGGTTGGCCCACTGGCAAGTTTCTTGTTTGGGGGTGCTTGAAAGCAGGCTGGTTTGAGGGTGGGGTGGGGATTTCATGGACTCATTTCTTATTCTGTGTCTTCCTGTTTTCCATAAGATCGGGGACAGGGTGCTTCATTTGCAGACAGGGCTTCCTAGGTTACAGGAAGCTGAAGCTTTTCTTTCTTCCCTCCCTTTGGCCCTGTCTCCTCCTCGCGCTGAGTGCGTTCCCACCAAGGTCTTTTTGCATGATCACAACAGGGAACCGTGTGGGGCGTGACAGGATGTCTGGGGGGGGGTCCTCATGGCGAGGGAGGGTGTGAGGGGACATTTCTGGTCAGGGTTTCTACATTGTTGGTTCCTTGTGCTCTTTTGTAAATGGAATTTCATACCGTGGAGATGCTTTGTACATATTTGTAATGATTTTATTAAAAAAAAAACAAACAAACTGGTTGTGCACTTCTAGCCAAAGGTGCCTGTGTGTTCATTTCCTTTTTGCAAGCATGGGGTTCTGAGCCTGCCCCACAGAAGGTCCATGCTTTGGGGCCACACCCTTCTCTTTCTTCCTAAAATCCAAGGGCCCTCCCCCCAAAGGCGTGGTATGGCTGAAGTAGGTTTGGGAAACCTGCCCAACAATTCAAATTCATCACATAGTGTATGCACGGCCTCCTGCAGCGGGCCAGCAGGGGTAGATCACAACTACAGACCAGTGGCCACTCTGGCTTGGGTTCTTGGGTGTTTGGTCAGAGATGTTTCAGGAATCCAGGTGCCAGATTCTTCCAGAGGGTGGTAGTTTGCAGGGAAGATGCTTTTTATGAGGCCTGGCCCTTCTCCACTCTCAGAAGTCCACATGGCTTAAAAGGGCTGCCTCTATCCTGCCCACTCAACCTCCAACTCCAGGGTTCAACACCTGGCCCAGGTCTGGCCAGTGCTCCATACCTCACAGGCTAAGATCAGGGACTAAGGAATGTGAGTCAGTCTTAGGACTCTTTGCTGAGCTTAAGCTGTTTGTAAAGTTCGAGCTGCCAGGGCCATCTTACCATTACATGAGCCCAACTGTATCACAGGGAAACAGAACTGAAGATGGAGACGTGGTTCTTTTATTTTTGCTGCTGTTGTTGGTTGTGGGGATTGAACTCAGGGCCCGGGCGCTGTCCCTGAGCTCTTTTTGCTCAAGGCTAATGCTCTACCACTTTGAGTCACAGCTCCACTTCTGGTTTTTTTGATGGTTAAGAGTCTCATAGATTTTCCTGCCCAGGCTGGTTTTGAAATGTGATCCTCAGATCTTAGCCTCCTGAGTAGCTACGATTGCGATTGCGCTACCAGTGCCCCGCTAGAGACATGGTTCTTTATCACCCCTGCAGCTCCTGAATGTGCCTCTTCCTGAAGGCTCTTCCTAAAGTCCTTTTTATTATTTCGTTTTACTTTGGCAGTCCTGAGGTTTGAACCCAAGACCCTGCATGTGTGAGACAGATGCGCCTTCCCTCACTTGAGCCAAACCCTCCCTTTTGCTTTATTTTCTTATTTTGCTTTATTTTTACCCAGGACCAGCTTGCCTCAAGTCCCCCATGTATCTGGGATCACAGATACGTCTCACCAAACCTACCTTATTTGTTGAAAAGGGGTCTTGTGCCAGGTGGTGGTGGCTCACGCCTGTAACCCTAGCTACTCAGGAGGCTGAGATCTGAGGATTGTGGTTCCAAGCCAGGGAAGTTCATGAGACTCTTATCTCTAACCACCAAAATAAAAGCCAGAAGTGGCGCTGTGGCTCAAGGGGTAGAGTGCTAGCCTTGAGTAAGAGCAGCTGAGGGACAGGGCCCAGTCTCTGAATTCAAGCCACAGGACCAGCACACAAAAGAAAAAAGAAAAGTGGTCTTGTGAACTTTTCCCCCAGGGCTTGCCTCCAATAGTAACTCTTCCAATCTTCATTTTCTGAGGAGCTGAGACTACAGGTGTGAGTTAACCACGCCAGGTCTTAACATCTTTAACACGCTTACACCATATTTGAGTGCGGTATGTGGTTTTTGTGGCTGGTATTATCATGTCACCCAGAGGTATAAACTGTGACCCTCCTCAGACTTCCGGTATAGCTGAGATGACATACATATGCCACCACATCTGTTTTTTGTTTTTTTACCAGTCCTGGGGCTTGAACTCAGGGCCTGGGCACTGTCCCTGGCCTCTCTCTGCTCTAGGCTAGCGCTCTACTGCCTGAGCCACAGTGTAACTTCTGGGTAATGAGGAATGGAACTCAGGCTAGGCAAGCCACCTTCCCAGCCCCACATCTGGCTTTTCATTGATTGAGATGGGGCCAAGGCTGGCCTTGGCAAAAGTTCTCCTGATTTCTAATTCCAGAGAAGCTAGGATTATAGACGTGAGCCACCATGCTTGGCTGTCTGTTGTTTCCTAAGGCAGTGTCTTGCTATGTAGTCCAGGTTGACCTGGCCTACTTTAGCCTCTCAAGGGCTGGGACACCTGGTGGCCACCAGGCTCGGCTTGGACAGGCCCAGTCCTTGAGGACTTGTTGGAATGGAGATCATAAAACAGTGGGTTAGTTTATAACAGATGACCTGAACTGCACAGGAGATGGGAACCTTCTTCGTCAGGCCCCTGACTGCTTTTACATATGAACAGCCTCGTGTTTGGAAAACTCTGCTTTAGCCACTGCTCCCAGTGGGGCAGATGTAAAATCTTCTCACCCAGCATCAAATCTCCAAGTGGGACATTCCCTAAAGCACAGGGAAGAAAATAATCCACTCTTCACCTAAACCACCCTGCCTGTCTGCAGGGGCCCACAGTATCAGAAACATGGCACTCAACATTTCTGCAAAATGTTGGAAGAATTTTATGTTGGTAGCATGGGTACACCTGGCAGAGCTATGGGTGGATTCATCCGTAACATAGATTTTTAGTGTCCCGGATTCCCGCCCATTAAGATGTTTTTTTTCCACCCTGTAGTGGTTGAGTGTAGGTAGAGTAACTTCCTAAAGTTACTCAGAGTTTGGGATCAGGATTTCCAATGAACTGCTCTGGCCCCATCCCACAATGATACTTCCGAGCCTTTCCCAGCTTCCGTTTCTTAGGGCTCTGACGTCACCTGCAATTACGGATGTTCCAGCTGCTTCCCTTCGGCTCTCTATCCCGGCAGAGAAGGAGCAGCCACACATTTCCCTCTGCTTCTCTTCCTGCTTGATTGGCCAGGCAAGTGGGGCTAACTCAGCTGTCACCATGGTAACAGAGCTTTGAAAGATGCTGAGCTGCCTTAGATGATGTCTCGCTGGGTACCAGGAAACAGCCGCCGATGTCCAGCCAGGGATGGACTCTTGGAGTGGTGGCACCCTGAGTCTGTTGTGGGGGGAGTGTAACAGCAAGCCTTCAAGCCCTCTGTTTCCCTTGCACGCTGATTGGCTCATGAGTCTCCAGGATTGCTTTCACTGTGATGTCACCTGTACCAACCCATTGTGTGAGGCTGGCAGTGAGCGCTGGGTGGGGGAGGGGAGGGCAGGCAGGATTCCAGTGGTTTCTCTGTGGTCACCTGTGTGGTGTCAGCCCAGATGTCCAAGCCAAGAGTTTTACGGGCCCCAGGCTGCAGCTGTGCGCACACAGACGGTGCCTTTAGTTCTGAAGGCTGCCAGGGAGCACGGCCATGTCTAGAGGGCCCGGTGACCCGTCTGCAACTTGAGTGATGGGGAAGAACAAAATTCAAGCAGGAGAGCAGAGAGGACGAGGAGAGCCTGGGGAAGGCCCAGCAGAACACTCAACACTGGGCCCACACTGACTTAACTAGAGAGAAACGTCAAGATCACCTTTTGCACTTCTTTTTCTTTTTTCTCTGCTGGTCTGGGGCTTGAACTCGGGGCCTGGGCGCTGTCCTTTAGGTTTTTCACTCAAGGCTAGTGCTTTACCACTTGCGTCACTTCCAGCATTTTGGTGGTTAGCTGCAGGTAAGAGTCTCACAGACTCTCCAGCCCAGGCTGACTGTGATCCACGATCCTCATGTCTCAGCCTCCTGAGTCTCTAGGATTACAGGTGTGAGCCGCCAGTACTTTGAGCAAGCCAGGCCTGCTGGCCACAATGCTGGCGTCAACAGCACAAAGCCGAGTGGAAACTCCATCTGCAGTATCAGCAGGGGGTGGTGGAGGGACCCCGACCGAGCTGCAGCATCATAAACTCTGTGCCTCAGTTTCCCTTCCCCTACAGACAGGAGATCCAGGACGTCTCCACCGCAGGGCTGCAGTGAAGATGGCTGCAAGTCCTCCAGGCAGGATGCTTGATGCCAGCCTGGCACACCCTGGGCTTGGCACCTGCCGTTATCCTAGCCGGATGCGGGGGCCCAGCGTTTGTATGTCGGGGTGCGTGGCAGTCACTGTCAGCTGCTGGCCAGGGCTGGGAGCCATCGATCTCTGGTCCATGAGTACTTAGGTACTAGGTGCTAGCACCTAGCACCTATGTGATAAGTCTGCATATTCCCGAGCCTGGACTTAGAGGGGAGGGGCGACCTACCTGGGGTGTCCGGTGAGGAAGGCTGGGTCATTGTGCCACGGATCCAGAGAGGGGCAGGTGAAGGCTAGCAGGTCGGGGGCCCGGAGGGCGGGTGGTGTGAGGCTGGGGCCAGGGCGTGAGGGCTGGACGTCTGCCTAGATGGCTCGCACGCATCAGCTCTAGTACACTTGGAAGTGTGCTGACGTGGCCCCGTCTTTCCAGCAGCGAAGCGTGTCCACCGCCACGGAGCGGCAGAGCGGGCAGGAGCGCTCGCGGTCCAGCCACAGGCACAGGCACTCTTCACAGAACACGTGCTGAGGGGACAGCAGGGGGCGGGGCCCGATGGAGGAGCTGGGCACGGCAGCCATGACAGACTCATGACCCCTGTCTTCCTGGAGCTGGGGAGACTCCTGGCCACAGCTGAGAGCCACAGTTAAGTAGCCCACTGAAAAGGCGGGGAAGGGCGCCTGGGAGAACAGCATGACACAGGGGCATTTTGGATGTATCTGGAAGAAGTGTAGGAGGAAGAGTGTGACTGGCAGAGGGCATTGCGCGTGCAAAGGCCCTGAGGCTGGTGTGTGCATGTGTGTGCGTGCTGCAGGGCCAGCAGGGAGAACTCTCTTGAGCTGGAGGGGATGGAAAGAGGGCAGGACAGAGGGCTGATGGGAGATGCTGATCTCAGGGCCTGGTGAGCCACTATGGGGGTCTGGAGTCTCGTCAACAGTGGTGATGGGGTGTTGGGCCTTTGACAAAGCCACCATCAAGGTCCCACTGGGGAATCTGAGCCTGAATAAGGACTAAAGCAGGGACTTTCTCTTCTACCTTCACAACTGTTCTGTGAGCCCTAAAATCTTCCAAAATTAAAAGCTTATTTACTATTTTTGAGGGGGTCTGGGCACAGTGGGTTACCCCCATAATCCTTTCCCTTCCCTTTATCCCTCCTCCCTCCTTTCTTCTTTCCCTCATTCTCCCCTCCAGACCCCATGTAGACTTCACCTAATTAATTTTTGTTGTTGTTGCTTGTGGGGCTTGAACTCAGGGCCTGGGCACTGTCCCTCAGCCTCTTTGTGTTCAAGGCTAGTGCCCTACTACTTGAGCCACAGCACCACTTCTGGTTTTTGAGTGGTTAATTGGAGATAAGAGTCTCAGACACTTTTCTGCCCAGGCTGGCTTCGAACTGCAATCCTCAGATCTCAGCCTCCTGAGTAGCTAGGATGACAGGCGTGAGCCACCAGTGCCCAGCTCTTATTCACTTTTCAAAGGTCCTCTCCACGTTTCAGGACCCAAACCAAGTCCACTCAGTATGTTTAGCTGTCGTAGATCCTTCCTCTCCTTTAGGAATTTTGACTCATGCAAATAGATTGTCAATTTAAAACAGAAATAAAATGGGGGGGGAACCCAAATGATAGAGGAACTCCTCTAAACCCCCCTGGACAGCAATAGCAAGAATTTTTTTTCTGATACTCAAAGAGGCCTCTACCTCCCGGCCTACCTTTGGAGGAGGGGAGAGGAGCCTTCTGCCTCTTCATCCCTTCTGGAATCCAGGCTGAGGCCTCCCCAGCCTGCAACTCATCATCACGCTCCACCCCGTCCCTGGGGATGCCGGCATGACTCTCTCCCACCCAGCACTTAGCGGGCTGCCTTGTCTCATAGTTATTTATGTATGTGTCTCTCTCCCCAGGAGACCAGGAGTTTGCACAGCATGTGTGTGTGTGTTCCTTGCCTCTCTGCCTTTCATAGGTGCTTTGACCCAAGGAGCATTTTCTTAAATTGACACCCAGCCACCAAGTCAGGAGGAAGAAGAGGAGGGGGAGGAGAAGGAGGGTGTGTGTGTGTGTGTGTGTGTGTGTGTGTGTGTGTGTGTGTGTGTGTGTGTGTGTGTGTGTGTGTGTGTGATGACATTAAGGAATGAAAAGGGATTGACTAGCAACAGTGCTACCCTGGATTGGTGAGACCCAGGACAATGAAAACACATGGTGTGCAGGGCACCCGTGGCTCATGCCTGTCATCCTAGCTACTCAGGAGGCTGAGATCTGAGAATCATGGTTCAAAGCTAGCCCAGGCAGGAAAGTTTGTGAGACTCTAATCTCCAATAAACCACAAGTGGTGCTGTGGCTTAAGTGATAGAGCGCTAACCTTGAGCTGAAGAGCTGAGGGACAGCGCCCAGGCCCAGAGTTCAAGCCCCATGACCGACAAAAAACAAAAAGAAACAAAGAAAACACATGGTGATAATATATACACGGATAACAAGTATCACACCAGCCAGGTCTTTGGTGAAAACGATTTAAAGCTAAATCCTAAAAAAGATAAAAATTGTATCTTTCTAGGTCATCTCACTGAGCTGCCATTATAGCTCTATGAAGTACGTGGGACTCTTTATCATATGTATTTTATAGATTAGCTGTGGAGGATGGGTGATCCCCCCACCCCACCCCCCACACACACTAGGGACAAGCATGCTACAGGGGCCTGGGGATGCTACTAAGAGGGTACAAAAATAAAAATATTTTGCTCCTCCAAATAAAAGAATGGGAGTCACACCCAGGACGGTCTCACACCATAACTGAAGTTGGCATTTCTGCATTTTACTGATGACACTGAGGCTCAGAGACAGGAAGTTCCTTGCTCAACAACCCTCCTCTCCCCCGCCAACCCCAAGCTGGAAGAAGTCTTGAGCTGAGATTTGAAACCTGGGTCTGGCTGACTCCGGTCTTAACCCACACCACAGTCTGGAAGCTTGGTCACGGGAAAGGCTTCTTTCCTGGAGTGATCTCAAGGCCTCTGAGGGTCTTTCCTGAGGGCCTCCACCCATGCCGTATCCCCCTTCCCCCCCCCCCCGTGCCCTCCCCTGCACCTGCTCACCTGACACAAGAGAATCAGAGGCTCTCGGAACTCCGCCTGGCAGATGGCGCAGATGTCTCCAGCTTCCGTGCACTGCTGCCCGGTGGCTCGGACCCCGTAGTTCTGTTTGGGAAGAGGGCAGGAGAGAAGAACACAGGGCTGAGCCATGCGGGATTGGGAGGCTCAGGATGCCTCCCGGAACAGTGGGGTGAGGAAAGAGGCCTCCTGAAGCCAACTCACCTGGGAGGTGCAGAGAAGCCTCAGCGCCTTCCTCACTCCGCCCACACGGCCACAGATATCAAATGACTGGAAGGAGAGCAGAACCATGGCCGAAAGAAAGGTTGCTCAGCGTCTGCTACCCCAGAACTATCTCTTTGATAGATTTCACCTGTCTGGGACTCAGAACATTTTCCAGGAAATTTTACCCCCCTTTGTGCTTCTTTTGCTTGGCTTTTGTCTTGCTGCCCAATTTCAACAGTCTCCCATGTTACCAAAGACAGGCAGCTGATAAATGGTATATATATGGCCGCCTTCTCTTTCCATGCCCCAGGCAGGCATTGCTAATTGATCGCAGCACCCACCCAGCATGCCAGTGGATCAGAAACATGGAGCAGGTCATCCAGCAGGATAAAACCTTCCTGGTGACCTGCTGGGAGGAAGGAAAGATAACACATGCACTCCCCCAGGGTCCTCTAAAGCACAAATAAAAAAGAAAAAAGAAGAGAATGAGTTTGTTTTTTTCTTTTTTTTGGGGGGGTGGGAAGGAGGGTGACAAGATCTCTGCCTTGTTCTGATGATGAGAGGAAAGGTACTAATTACTGACTTGAGGTGTTAAAATGTAAGCCGGGTACCAGTGGCTCAAGCATGTAATCCTAGCTACTCAGGAAGCTGATTTGAAGCCAGTTCAGAAAGGAAAGTCCATGAGACTCTTATCTCCAATAAACTACTCAGAAAAAGCCAGAAGTGGCGTTGAGGCTCAAGTGGTAGAGCACTAGCCTTGAGATCCATCACCACCACCAACAACAAAAAAGGCAATGATGTAGGGAACACAGTGGATGAACCTAAAGATGTTATGTTACGTCAGAGAAGCCAGGCACAAGGTTCCACTGACATGAGAGATTCAGACAGAGTATGCAAACACACAGGGACAGGAAGTAGATCTGTGGTGTCTAGGGGCTGGGGTAGGGAAGTGTTGGAATGGGGGAGGGCTGCTTTTTGGTTACAAGGGCGCTATCCCTCCCTCCCTCCCTACCTCCTTCCCTCCCTTCCTCCCTTCCTTCCTTCCTTGGTGCTGTCCCTCAGCTTTTATGCACAAGGCTAGTGCTCTACCACTGGAGCCACAGCTCTCCTTCCAGTTTTTTGTGGTTAATTAGAGATAAGAGTCCTAAGGACTTTCCTGTCCCTCCTGGATAGCTAGGATTACAGGTGTGAACCTTTCAGGTACGTTTCTTTTGGGGGCCAGTGAAAAATGTCTTGAAACCAGATAGTGGTGGTAGTCACCAAACTAAACTAGATCCATGAAATGCCACTGAATGGCACTTCAAGATCACCAGTGGTTAATTTTATGCTGTGTGACTTTCACCTCAATTTAAATATAGAAGAGAACCAGGCATGGTGGCACACCTGTGTCATCCCAACTACTGGGGAGGCATAAATGGGAGGATGGAGATCTGAGGCCAGTTTAGGCAAAAGTGAGAGACCCTATCTGAAAAACAAATGCAAAAAGAGCTGTGGTTGGATGTGGCTCAAGTGGCCGAGCACTTACTTGGCCTAGCTCGCATGAAGCCCTGAGTTCAGCAACTTCTCCCCGCAACCAGACTTACTATCAGGGTTCATCCAAATTCCCAGCACCCTCTGGGGCTGCCTCACCTTGCAGAGACTGTAGAGGACAATGAGGACACCTCCCAGGAAGTAGCTATTGGAGGAGTCATCGCCCATGATGTACTTGTACCACAGCTGGATGGGGACAAGTGAGCGGAACAGCTGGCTCAGCTCTTCAATGACCAGATAGAACTTTCCCTGTGGACACACAAAGAGCATCCATTATTATTAGCAGTAAAGACCCAAGGGACAGAGCTTGGGAGGGGGCAGGGGAGGGGCCAGCAATAATGACATTCTAGGTCACAGGCAGGCCATTAATCAGCTTGGGAAAGCACTCAGGCCAGCTTTAATGGGGCCCGCTCTAGCCAGGGAGACACGGCCCTTGGCCAAGGCCCTCACCCCTAATGCCCACCAGCTGAGAAGATCAAGAAGCAAGGACTGGGTTTCACAGAGAGAGGGAGACATGACACTCTGCCCTGGGGCTGGCATGTGGTCACAATCTGTTGTTTCTCCTTTGTTGGCACTAACATCTATCATCGTAGTGGGGTCTTCTTCCTTTTCCTCCTCCTTCTTTTTGTGTGGTTGAAGGGTTTGAACTCCTTAAGCAGGAGCGCTACCACTTGGACCACCCCCCCCCCAGCCTTTTTTGCTTTAGTAGTTTCTCCGATAGTGCCTCATGCTTTTGCCTGGACTATGATCCTCCTACTTGCACTTCCTGAGTAGGCGGGAGGTGTGTGCTTCTCCAAGTCTCAGGAGGTGAAGACCATCCCTACCTTCCCCATAGGGGCCTAGGTCGGAGAACACTGGAAGCAGGGAGGACCAGGCCTAGAGACTGATGGCAGGAAGATGCCCACACTGCTCTAGCTCCATCACCCACTGCCCGAGACAAGGCATGGTGATGCCATCACACTAACTTGGAGCTTCACCCAGACCAGAGCTTCACTCTTCTCTGCTGGCCTGATTGTGAGCCTCAGTGTCCTCGTCTACAGAAAGGAAACCCTAGGGGGCTGTGCTGGGATTACCAAAGAAGTTAGACAAGAAAAGCACCCCACATTGTGCTGAGCCTTTGTTGCCCTGGGCAACTAACTCCTATACGCTTTGTTGGAAAGACAGAGCTGAAAGTAACCCCGACCGCTCCTGTAGTCTAATAAAAGTAGACAGAAGCCTAACTTGTAACCCCACAATTCCTCTCTGAGGAGCTGCCGCAGGAGAAATGAAAAAATATACATGTCCACATGGACCCAAAATGTTCTTAGCATCTTTATTCACAAAATCCCTCCACTGGAAACTGTGCAAATGCTGGTCTATGGGGGGATGAGTAAATGAAGGCTGGCCATATTGATAGACTACAGCCCAGCTCAGCCATAACAACCAACAAATGGCTGAGATTTGTAACACGGGTGAATCTCACAGACATGACACCGAATCATGTAATTCTGGTTTGTATAAAGCTCCAAGGGTTGGTCACGCTGACCTGGAGTGCTGGAGACCAGATGGTGGAAAGAATTCTGGGAAATGATAGGGGCATTTCTATCATCATAACAGTGGTTGTGTATATGTGTGTGTATGTGAACAAACATTTATCCAAACTCACTGAAACATATGCTGCAAGTCTGAACATTTTGTTAAGACTTTATTATTAAATAAAGATGATTAAAACAAACAAACTTACAATCTGACCTCAGGAACTCACAGACTTAAAAATGTGAATCGCAGCTGGATGCCTGTAATCTTAGCTACTCAGGAGGCTGAGATTTGAGGATTGCAGTTCAAAGACAGCCCAGACAGGAAAAAATCTATAAGACTGGCCCTGGGTTTGATTCCTCAGCACAACATAAGCAGAAAAAAAAAAAACCAGAAGTGGGGCTGTGGCTCAAGTGGTAGAGCGTTAACCTTGAACTGAAGAGCTGAGGGACAGCGCCCAGGCCCAGAGTTCAGGCACCATGACTGACACCCAAAAAAAAAAATCAAAAAAAAGGTTATACAAATATACACATTCATCAAACAGTTGGTGTGTGGCCCTGGAAGGAAACGGTATATCCATCCCTTCATATCCATTTTGGTGCCTGGGCTCAGGCCACTCTGATGAGAACTGCTTGATGCACACGCGTCCACAGCTGCTGTGTGCGGTCAGGCACTCACCTCCAACCTTGTAACTGCTGGGCTAACTCTCCATAGAGGTCATGGTTTCCCCTCCAGACCAATCAGTCCCTCAGCCCCAGTAAACATCCCCTGTAGGTACACTGTGGATTTCACTTAGAATTTGTAGAAGGTACAGGTGATGGGACAGCAGAGATGTGGGAGATGGCTGCCATATTGGTTTCACTCCACTAGTGATGTGATGGATATGGGCCCAATGGTTCAGCAGCTCTGTGGACAGCAACACTGTCCACATACTGGTAGCTGGCTCCCAAAAGCTCTGTAGAATACTTTCTTTACCTAGATCTCCCAATCTTATGCTCTTTGCTTCCTTTATGTCTCCCAATTGCTTTCACCCAGGATCTTCCAACATAAATGGGTTTTGTCACCCCTCCCAGAATTCAATGCACCTGAGAACCTTGCTTCATTTTTCCCCTTTTCCATCCATTCCCTCCACCCTCTTGTCCATTCACTTACCCATCCATTCATCTATCCATCCACCCACCCACCCACCATCCACTTTTCCATCCATCCATTCATCTCTCCATCCATCCATCCATCTCTCCATCCATCCATCCATCTCTCCATCCATCCATCCAAACCATTCATCCACCCATCCATCCACCCAGCCATCCACTTGTCCATCCATTCATCCACGTATTCATTCATCCACTCACCCATTCACTCATCTACTTGTCTGTCCATCTATCCATCCATCCATCCACACACCCAACCATCCAGGTATCCACCTCTCTCTCTCTTTCTCCTCCCTCTGTCTCTCTCTGTCTCTCTCTTTTTCACCCATCTTTCCTTCCCCCCTCCCTCCCTTCCTTTTCATCCAGTCAATCTGCCTCCCTCTCCTCCTTTCTCTTCCTTTAGAGCATTTCTCACAATATTTTAGAGCTACCTTAGCCTTTGTCTCTCCCACTGCATTGTGACTCTACACAGGCAAGGCCTTTGGTTCTGGGTCCCTCTTTAGAAGATTCTGTCCTCATCACCCTTGCCAACGTCTTCAAGTTTGCTGACAGCAAAAGAGAGTCGGAACTCAGAAGAGAGAACTCCACTTGATAAGCAAGCACTGATGCCACAGAGAAGAAAAGAAAAGGAGTGAGTGCGATGGCACCGTGTTCAAAGTAGCAATTAGCTGCTGGGGCGGGGCTGGCCACTCAGGGGAGATGAAACCACTGGGGGAAAGCTGGGCATATCCCAGTGGAACCATCTCTCCCTAATTAAGCACTTTTATAATTCCAGGTTTCTTAAGCATGTTATTTCTGACGACCACCAAATGGAACGTGCGGTTCCTCTGGGGTGTCAGAAAACAAGGGAGCGATGGGAGTGGAGCCGCCCGGTTTCCCTGTCACTGCCAAGGGGGAACCATAGCAATTGTTGTAAGCCTGGCTGGGGCACGGGAGGTGTCAGGGCTTGGATTCCAATAGAGGGGGTGGCACCAGGCAGATTCTATTCTGACTTCCTCCCTGCCAGGATGGGGGGGGGGGACAAAAAGCCTGGGAAACAATGGGCGGGCCAGGGGAGGGAGATGGGGATGCTAAGAAGAAGAAACAAGGGGGAGGAGGGGGGACTTTCTGAGTAGAATGCCCCCACCGTGGAGCGCCAAGCTCTGGGGTGGGGAGGGAGGAAGGACAGACAGAGCAGAATATTGGTTAGCAGCTCTTACGAATGAAGAAGATAGAGACAAAAGGACTTTTGTTCTGAGTCCAGATTGATTTAGTTCCCTGAGCTTCTGGTTCTTCATCTCAGCCTCCTGAGTAGCTAGGATTACAGGTGGAGCCACCAGTGCCCAGTCCTGGTTATTCTTTATGACATAGGTCTCACAAACTTCTGCCAGGACTGGTCCAAGTCTTTTAGCTTTAGGTTATTTTTCAGATAGGGTCTTATGCTTTTTGTCAAGATGATCCTTGAGCCATGATTATCCTATGGAGTTCTGCATAGCTTGGATGACAGGAATGCCCCCGCCCAGCTTGTTGGTTGAGATGGAGTGTTCCTAAGTTTTTGCCTGGGCTGGCCCCTACTGATGATCTTCTTCCTAATTTCTGTCCCTAAGTAAGTTGGACTGTAGGCATGAGCCACTGTGTACAGCCTCTTTATAATCTCCAAAAATGTAAGAGATGCTGAATCTAAAACACTTGAAAAAAAATTTTTTGGGGGAAAAATACTGGGATTTTGAACTTGGGATCTCACGAACAAGTGCTTTACCATTTGAACCACAACCCCAGCCTTTCTTGCTTTATTTTTCAGATAATGTCCTATACTTTTGTCAGGGCTGGCCTCAGACTATGCTCCTTCTATCTGTGCCTCCCAGTAGCTGGGATTATAGGTGGATGCTACCATGCCTGGCCTAGGTTTGAGTTCTGATTTCACTTCCTAGCTCCTTAGGGCAAGTTACTTGCTGTGGTCTTTTTGTTTTTTCTTTTGCCATGGGTAAAATGGCAATGGGAGTTGAAGTTCCCAGGGCTGCTGGGGGGTTGCGGGGGGGGGGGGGGGGAGGGATGAATGAGCTAATGCCTGCAGAGCCTGGAGTTCAGCACCTGGCACATGGTAAGGACTCTGTAAGCACCAGCTGTGGCGCTGTGAGCAGTCTGGCAAGTATAAAATATCCTCTTGACGAATTGAATTAAGCTGCTTGGAGGGGATGGCAGAGACCCAAGGAGGCAGAGCAGGAGACAAGTGATTCTTATGTCATTGTGGATGATATAAAAATCATGTTCAAAATGTGGTCTTTGGGATCAGGGGTGGCTGTGCTTCCCTTGTGCTCTGTGGCCCTGGACATGCTGTTCTCTTTCCCTGGACCCCCGTGTTCCATTCTCAGGGCTGACCCACACAGACAGGCTAGCCTAGGCTTCTACACACTCTACAACCACCCACGGGTGTCACTTTGGGGCTGTGAATGACAGAAGCTGGCTTGAAACAGCTTTGGTGAAGAAGTAAATGTCTCTGGGTTGCACAGGAGCTAGGACAAAGTAAACATCTCTGTTTCTCCTCTTCAACACCTCTCAGCTCCCACTGTCTCTGCTCTTGCTTCTGGGTAAGTTTCATCACCC